GTGGGTGGTTGTCAAAATTATGGTCCAATTTTGGGTCCTTATTATAATACGGCACCTATTATTTAGGGCACCCCAAAAGGGACCATAATTTTGACAACTACCCATGTAGGACTTTGGGTTTGGGGGCCTGAAGCCTTCACGCCTCAAGCCCAACGCAACCGTCTCGCTGACCCTTAGAGGGTTTAGGGTTTAGGGTTTAGGGTTTAGGGTTTAGGGTTTAGGGTTTAGGGTTTAGGGTTTAGGGTTTAGGCAAACCGAGAGGAAACCTGAAACTCAGATCCAAGACAACTACCCTAAAACCCCCGAGGCGCCTAGGGCAACATTCGTCTGAGTGCTCGCTCGTAGTACCAAGGGATGTGCTGCACCGACCTTGGGCTTGGGGGAGGAGGGGGGGCACAGCCTTTGAGGATTCAGGCCCGTGTATGTCAGCGTGCAACTGCATTGTCTCATATCTGCAGAACTCTGCCATTATGGGGCGGAGAGCTACATGGCCCATGCTGCATTGCTGCAAATCCATCAGTTCCCTGCATTACTGGAGCCATGTCCAGGGCCTTCCTCTGGGGCCCACCGAGGTCCGGACTTCTTGGCAGCCAGCTCCGTCATTCGCTCCGGCAGATCCTGCTTTAGGACCTTAAGCAGAGCATGCCACAGCTCACCAGCATCTGTTGCGCTTTACGAACACCCGGCGGGAACTTGCCAAGACCCGGGCTCTGTCGATCAAAGCATTTCGCTTCACTGACTTCCTCTGCGCCTGACAAGTGACGGCCCCGAGATGTAAAACGATCGTACTCGGGGCGTCAGTGATCAGCTTCGTCGACATCATCATTGCCACCCTCATCCATAGCATCACCACCATCACCACCACTGCCAGCCCCATCAGAATCATCATCGACTGGCATCACCATCGGTATCATCAACAAAAACGACAACAGCAGCCTGACCAAGACCATCCAACACTGTTAGCATCTTCATCACAATCAGCAATCCCGCCAACTTCATCGTCCCCATTAGAGCCATCCTCATCATCATCATCATCGTCGTCTTCGTCAACTTCGTCTTCAACACCATCATCATCCAAGCCAAATCAGGATCATCATCTTCTTCACCGGCGCCACGACCTAGCGAAAGCTTCATCAGAGTCATCATGAGTCATGACCGTGCCCATCTTCATGACTCCATGTTCATCTGCAATATCCTGGTCAACAGGCTACCAAAAAAAACACCATAGCATTCCAATCGCCCACAAAAACCCTCCCCGTCAAACACTGCCATCAGCAGCCGCAAAACACTCAGCATCAGCATCAGCACCACCATCACCACAACCACCATCGAGCATCATCATCCCCGTCAACATCACCACCACCACCATCACCACCACCACCACCACCACCACCACCACCACAACCACAACCACAACCGCCATCGCATCCATATCTGCAATCATCACCCATCACTGCCAAAAACCTCACAAGCTGTCTGATCAACAGCGGGATCATGCTGAGCTCCTTCCTATTCTTCTGGGGGAGCCGACTGGGACGAAAAGAGAACAGGTAGCGACAGCAGGCTGAACACCGGCAACGGACGAAATACTGACAGCTCAGGCCCCCAAACCTACAGCTGAAACCCCAAACCAAAACCCTACATCCAAAACTCCTAAACCCAAACACCCTGCAGTCCAAAGCCCTAAACTTTGCAACCTTCTTCCTTGAAACCCTGCGAAACAACTGAACCAAACCACACCGCATATCACCGGTTAAGCCAGAGCTGACCTCGAGCACCATGGAGGCGCCAACCGTTCGGATCAGGGCACTTTGCATGAAGAAATACTCGGTGTCCTTAGGCATAAGGGTTTAGGGTTCTTGAGTTTGAGCGTTTAGGGTATAAGGGGTTTAGGGTTTAGGGGTTTAGGGTTTAGGGGTTTAGGGTTTAGGGGTTTAGGGCTTTCGGTTTTAGGGCTTGAAGAATTTAGCCTCAAAGGGTTTGGCTTAGGGTCTAGGTTCATGAGGCAATGAAGGCCCATTAAGGGCCACTGCATTGCTTCTTGGAAGTGTTTTAAGCTTTTCGGCGGGCCTCTTAGGAGCATCGTAAAGCGGTCCATGAAGAAGTACCATAGAGCCCTTGATAATTAGAGTGTGGTTTGGGGATGCTTTCTGGGCTAGTGGTAGAAGCAGTCATCTTCACCGCCGCAGTAGCAGCAGTAGCAGTAGCGCTATCACTGACAGTGACAATAATAGAAACTGCAACTGTCGCCGTCGTCGTGACGGTGATGGTAGCGGTGCTAGTGCTGGTGGCGGTGGTGGCGACCCGAAACCCTAAACCCTAAACCCTAAACCGTAGCAGGAGCAGAGAGGATTGGCAGGAGCACACTTCGCCTGTTGCTCTAAATCCCACAGCAGCCTCGAGGTCCGAAACCCCAAAGAAACGAACTCTAAGCGCTTTGGCGACTCTACACCCTTTGCTGCAACCTTGAACCCCAAAACCCCAAGCCCCATGAACCCCCAGAATAGAGACCTTCTATGTAACTCTATGCACAACCCTACCAAAAAAACTTTCATAACCCCACAAACCCCCTCTTTCAAGCCCGTCTCTCTCCTCCCAAGACTCCTAAGCCTGAACCCTAAACCCTAAACCCCTAAACCCTAAACCCCTAAACCCCTGAACCCCGAAACCCTGAACCCCAAACCTTGAACCCCGAAACCCTAAACAGCAAGAATCGACCCAAGAATGGGCAGTGTAGGGTCGTCATTAAGAATCACCTCTACTATTTGTCTGTCGGGTCCTTATTATAGTTCAGTATAGTATAATGGGCCCCAAAACCCTTTCTCTTCTAAGCTTTAAGGCCCCTACATTAGCGCCCCTTTTTCACCCTAAACCCTAAACCCCTAAACCCTAAACCCTAAACCCCTAAACCCTAAACCCCTAAACCCCTAAACCCCTAAACCCTAAACCCTAAACCCCTAAGCCCCTTTTGAAAATGGCCCCTCGGCTCCGGCTCTTCGAACTTCGGCCCAGCGGCCCCGAAGTTGTTGTCGCTGCCGGCACTCCGAGGGCTCTCCCTCGGGGGAGGCACCTCTTTGAAAGGCTCTGTTGGGCGGCTGTTTGGGGGTTTTGGGTTTAGGGGGCTTTTAGCGCTGTGGCTTCAAGAGCTA